TTATTTAAAAGCATGGGGGCTGCACAATCACGTTGCAGAATATCAGTGGAGCCGTGGATGAGGACTTAGCCACAAAATCATATGTTGTCTCGGAAATAATCTCCCTCGGTTATCACTCAACTTGATTGTCGATGTCCCCACTGCCGGCTCTTGATGACTCTCGCCGTACTTCAGCCACAAAAACATTGCAAAGTAGTTGGTTTGGTTAATACTGAATCGTACATATCACATCTCAATTATTAGATATTTTAATATCTTATATTCATTATTGTATCCAACTGTCATCCTTTTAAGAATTACCTTGAGGTGTTTAACAATAGCTTATAGTTCATTTTAGTAGCTTATTTTACCAATTGATTTGATTAATTGATTTAAAAAATTAATTTGATTAATTAATTATATAGAAGTGTTTGGTAAAATTTAGTTGATAGTTTATATGGGTAAAATGATAAATAATTGTATGATGCATTTTATTGTTAAGTACATGTATGTTTTATAATACTTTAGCTTTTATTGGGGTGAAGTTATTCGAATAAAATATTTTTGACAAGAAATTAAAAATCCCTTAAAAATTAGTGAATATTTTTGAAAATTTTGAATATTTTGAAAATTTAATAGTTACAAAATATTAGCATTGTGAGATTAATACATATTATTAACCTTATACAAAATATCAACACTACATTTTTCTACTTTCATGTTTTGCTATATTTTCTTAACTAAAATATATTTGAGAATCTACAACTAAAAAATAGAATAATAAAATAAAATTTCACTAAAATTTATTAGGATGGATGTTATTTTATTAGATTAAGTTTTATGACAATGATGTAATTATGAAAATAATAAGGTCAAATATATCATTTAACATCTTATTTTGTAATCAGATCTTCTAAACCGTTGAATTTTCTAGAATTTTCATTTTCAGCTTATTTTGTCTAATAAACATTTTAAAAAAGTTATTTACCAAACACTAAAAATAGGTGATTTAACTATCAATAAACTATTTATGCTCAAATAAACTAAAATTCTTTAAAAAAAGCATTTTACCAAACACCCCTTATCTTTACTAGATAAATTGTATCTTATTATTTATATTCTATTCAATATTTTGTCTTTTATTCACTTTAAAATTATTTGCTCTGCTCTCCTCCTCAATGGTTAGTTGCCTCTTACTTTAACTTGGACAGGTTCTAGGGTTGGTACGATAAATGCTACTTATAAATTATTTCTAAAGGGGAGGAAAATGAGAGATTCTAAGGAAGAAGGAAAATATTTTTAGTAGGTTTAAAATTCATATTCTTAAAACAAATATGAACAGCTTGAAAAAAAAAAGAATTTATATTTTTAACATAAAATTATCAATGATACTTAATCATTAACAATAAAACATTTAACAATTTACTTATTTTTTTATTAGAAGAGTATATGGTGAGAATATTAATTTTATCAATATCTCATTTCTTTTAGTTTAAATATTGTTAAAATAGTATTATTACATTTCAGAATCAGAATCTAATACATTTTCATAACATTAATCTTTATTTTAGAGTCGTCAGCTCAAGGGTCTAAGCAGTTTCAAGCTGAGGTATAACAGAGTTATCCGATCTTTTAATAAATCCCTCATAAATTGGAAATTAAATAGGTACAATTGATTAAAATATCTGGGTTTTATTTTTTCACTTCTTCTCAGAGTTCCATCATTGAAACTTGACTACGCTTATCGAGTAATGCGATGATGGCTGCAACATGGGGCTCATCTAAGAGTATATGGTAGGGATGTAAAAATTTTACTCAATCTGTATAATTGGCTGAAATCGACTCGAGTTAAAATTACTTATAATCTGAGCGATGATGATCAAAATCGACTCGAATACGAACTGATGTTTATCTGAACTCTAGTTGGACTTGGAAATTGTGTATTTGAACCCGACTTGCACCAAATCTGAGAATGACATGAACCTAAATTGAACCGATAATATGACAACCGAACCCAACTGAAATGAACCTGAACCCATATTAACATGGTAAATAATTGATATTACTCGACCTGTTTAATCTCACATGCAAAAGTATAATCTCATGGCTTTTTCAGGTTTTATGCATTATTATAATGAGACGTCTAAGAAATTGTCCAGCAAAAACAATTGAGGATTTGAGAAATTGCAATTGTAACATTTATGACCTTCCTCGTTGTTATCATTATTCTGATGAAACAAACATTTTGTTATTTCCTCTTTTGATGGGCTATTTTTAGTTTCTTTCTTGTCCATTGGGCTTTTTCATATCCTTCTATATTTGGATCAGTATTATCGTCCATAAAAACAAAGTAAATATTATTAGCTTCATTGTTTTTGTTGTATTGAAAAGAAGGTTAAGCAAATGCTGGGATTTGAGTATGCGTTATTGTGGTGAAAAATGAGGTTTTAAGGATTAAATTGATATAATACTTAAATAATAGTTTGTCTTTTAGAATCAATATTAAATTGAATTAAAATATAAAATTAAGTACTGATTTTATTATTATGGCAATTATTTTAACCGTCACTTCATCTATGGTTAAATTTTTAATCATAATAAATTAAATTTATCATTTTTAAGTCGAATGATAATTTATTATGATTTTAAGTCCCATCATATATGGGTCTAGTCTAGATTCGAATATACTCCAATTATTAATTTATATATTTTATGTTTTTAACTAATTGATTCTATTTATACTCGTACATATATATTATTGAAATTATTATTTTATTTCTGCATTATAATGATTGATTGATAATTGTTGCTATATAAATGTGTATTTATTGTAACCATACTTATAGTCTAAAAATTATTATTTACATATTTTAAAATAAATGACATTAAATATTAGTTAATTTGTATACTATACATTTCATTTTCACTATTTATTTAACACATAAAATTTTAGATTTACTTTTTATTGCGGAAAACAAATTATACTCAAAATTAACTCTAATTCTTAAAGATTTTTTCACTAAAATATATATTTGAAGTTTTTAACGTTACAATTTTAGGTTCTTACGTCGTAATTGTCGTTAAAAAATTATTAAGTGGCACGACTTAGGTTTATATTTTTTTAAATAAAATATTATTTTTAAAAAAACTTAATGAAAAAAAATATCCCCCGGCACCGGCATAGCTGCCTCCACACACCCAACCCCGTTGATGATCCCTCTCAACACCGCCATGTCATTGCTTCAGAAGTTGCGGTTGAGATGGAGGCCAACCCTGTTGATTCTTCGACATACCCAGGCCCAGGCCGAGGCCGATCATTCCAAGGGAATACGAAAGAACTTCGCCTGCGACCCATAAACCGAGTACAACTTCACTAGAGATCAACCCTAGACTTTCGGGAACTCCTCATTCAATGAAATCTGGTCAATGGACCGACAAAACACACCTCATCTGACGAAATCCATTGGCGCTAAGAAGGTTCTGCTATGCGAACGAGAGCCGACGAAAACATGATTAGGATTTTTGGTTAGTAAGGTAATTTTCTTATAATTTTTAATTTCTTAATAAAAATAACAAATTTATTTTTCTAATAAGCTTTTAAAAAATATAAATATGACAGATGTAACTTAATGATTTTTTAACAATTGTTTTGATTTAGACATAAAAGCATACCGTTTAACGAAAAAAATTTAAACACTTAATATTAGTGTTAGGTATAATTTAGATATCTATTTTACATTAAATATTTTATTAAATATAATATTTGATTGTAAATTATAATAAAATTGAATAATAGTGATTAAATAAATTCATTAATTACAAACTTTAGGAAAAGATGGAGAAATTTACTAATTAATCACGTGCGGTTAAAACATTTAATTACGCAAAGCCGAGCCAAGTCGAAAGATAATCTCCGTTCCCAAATCGGATATTAGATATCTAACATTAATAGCAAATATCTACTTTTAAGCCACACTCCAAAAGAGAGCCGTGAACTTCACCCCCAAACCAATTATTTGTGATTTGTGCAACCAACCACTGTGATTAGCCCATTTAATCCACGCTCCAAACCCCCACATGAAAACTTCACCCACCACAACAATAAAAGCATGAGAGGAAAAAAAAAGGAAGAAAACAAAACAAAGCAAAACATTAGCTCGAAAGGAGACGATCTTTAACGGATTTTTAGTTAAAAGATTGGTCAAAATTCGGAAGGACAAATTAGCATGTGGCCATTAAAACCCAAACCACTGCCTTAATTACGCACGTGTCAAAGACGACTCAGTCACTTCATTTCTACCACATTGGGCTTTGCTTCGCTTAAATTTAATAATCAACCTGTTTCTGATTTTCCTACGAAAAATTCTTTTGCTTTTCTATTGTACCTAATAACCAATGAAAGCATGACATATCAGCCACATTATCTAAATTAAGTGGGGCCATTGACGTGGCAGGAACATCGTTGTTGTCTGGTCAGGAGAAAATGGGATATGTATAAGAACAAGGAAGGATAGAGATCAGCGTCGGGTGCCAAAGGGTGAATTATTTAGTTTTCCCATGGAAGCGATGAAGGTTTTTGCTTTTGGGTGATGAGAGAGAGAGAGAGAGGGAAGATCCTTCTCTTGTGGATATGGAAGGCAACTTTTTTCTCTCCCAGAATCTATCTCCATCCTCCCCCTCCCTTTTTCTGCTTTCTATTTGATGCATACTGCTTGTATTTGTTTTTTATAGTACTTTTTTATTGGGAAGATTCTCGTTTTTTTCTTTAATGGTGAACCTTTATGAACAGGCTTGTTGGGGGGTGGAAAAGGGAATGTTATTTGTTATTTTGTGGTGTTGGCATATGAGTTTGAGCTAAAAAGCTTGGAACTTTTTCTGGAATAAGTTAGAGGGTAGATATTGGTGAAGTTTGTATGTTTCTCATCAGTAGCTAGATTTGTAATAATTCATTATTTATTAATTTTTGGAGTTACAGTTTAAATTTTTATGTCTTGTTGTTTTTATGTATATGGTTTTCAGGCGAAGTACCTGTTTCTGATGGTGGAAGAACCTGGTTCTTTGAGTTAAAAGTTTGTGATGAATTAAGGAGTTTGAAACAATGATGAAAGGAAGAAAAGAGGAGGCAAAGGTGATGAGTCCTATGTTTCCTAGGCTTCATGTAAATGATAAAGAGAAAGGGGGGCCAAAGGCACCTCCAAGGAACAAAATGGCCCTCTATGAGCAACTCAGTATCCCTTCCCAAAGGCTCAACGCCGCATCACTTCCACCAAATAATACCAACAGCTTGGTTCCTTCAATATCTTCAAGCCATGTAAGTTTGCTATTTTTATTATGATGCAAGTGTTTCCTATTTTATGTTGTATGACAAGAAATTGTTCGTATTTGTAGGGTGAAGGTAATGAAACTAGTATGCTTATGCCATTTGGATACGCCCATGAATCTTCAATTTCGCCTGCCAAGTTTCATTCTTATTCCATTCATGGGACTAAAATAAGAACCGTCAAAGGAGTTCAAGATGATAAATTCTCGAAATCTATGGATTGCCGTAGTTTTGATACCGTCCCACCAACTCCAGCTGCTCCTGAAAAAAATACATTTCAACCTCGCTATTTCTCTAGCTTTAAGAAAGTTTCTCCGAGGAAGCTAGTCAATAATGATGACCTTAAGGTTCCTACGTCTGCTCTGTCGGGAATAGATCGAAATAGCTGTTGCAGTAAGCAGGGCGAAAACCGGGAACATTTTCCTAAATCAAACTCAAGCTCTTCGATGCAACATCAAAATGCTAATGGAATTTCTGTAGATCCAAAGTTTAGAAGATATGTGGGGAACCAAGCTGAGGAGAATGGAAGATTATTTCGAAGCAATCAAGACATCATGGAAAGATCTAATTTAGCCAGAGATAATATCTTAGCTGATGCATCATCTGACCAGCAAACCAAAATCAAGGATTCGAAATCATTGAAACGACCACATGATTCATGTAATAAAGAAAACAAAACCAGTTCAGTGGTTGTATTGAACAGTAAATTTCGTGCAAATGCTCGGTTATATCATGAGCATATTTCAATGGAGTCTGTCGAGACTCTGGAAAATGCTTCCAATGTGAGAAATGAGTTATGCTTGCGACAATTACTTGGAGTTGATAATGGAATTCCGAAAGCATTTGAAAACAGAAGTAAAGCCGTTGAAGAAAAGAATACTGGAGATAGGCAAATTGGGGGAGTGAACATACATGATAATGTCCCAAGTACCTCCTTGGAGTCCCTGTCTAATTTGGATATACGGCCCGATGATATCGTGGGAGTAATAGGTCAGAAACAATTTTGGAAAGTACGAAGAGCTATAATCAAGTAAGTGTCCACTTCTGCAGTTAGCATTCTCTACACCTAATTAACACCAGAAGTATGTGGTATATTCGATATTGTTTCGTTGCATATAATGAACATCAGAAATATGTGCATTTACTTCTCGCTCATGATAAATTTACTCTTCGGTCATATCGTTTTGTAAATGGTTGACATATTGCCTTCTATATCATTTCTTGTAATATCAGTTTACCTTCTATGTCTTCTATCTGCTCTTTTCTGTTGCGAAATGTTCATATATTTGCTCTTTGCAAAAGCTCTCAATACTTGTTGCTAGCTCTGCTACTTGATGAGATACTAATTGCTATATAACTGTTTTCAGCCAACAAAGAATCTTTGCTGTGCAAATCTTCGAGTTGCACAGACTCATAAAGGTAAATGGATCGGTGTATTATGGACTTGCTAGGTATTTCAGCAAATTATGCATGTAATATCAGCAAATTTGAATTTTGTATTAATTTGGAACAGGTTCAGAGGTTGATTGCTGGGTCACCAAATATATTGCTTGAAGATGCCTGTTATATGGGCAAACCGTCTTTAAATGCTTCTTCAATCAAGAAGTTCCCATCTGATAATGTTCCTGAATCGGCAATGATTGTTAAAATCAGAAATAATTCTCAGAAACCAAATATCAGCATTGAATCTGCAGATGAGAATGCAGTTGCAAAGCTTCCCCTTCCTTTTGCCGACGATGATACCAGCAAAGGACTTGTTACACATCGACCCAATGCGTTGTCGTCACCGATGGCTGCCGATACCAGATCATCTCCTTGGGGTTTCTCTCCACCTGGAAGTCAGTGGTTAGTACCTGTAATGTCTCCTTCTGAAGGATTTGTCTACAAGCCGTATGCAGGGCCTTGTCCTCCAACTGCAGGTTTCTTGGCACCGGTTTATGGTGGCTGTGGTCCTCTGAACCTACCTGCAGGTGGTGCAGACTTTTTGAGCACAACTTACGGTGTTCCTGCTTCTCACCTACACGGAGTTGGGATTCTTCCTGGCAACCCTCCTAGATGTCAGACATATTTTCCACATTACGGCATGCCAGTTGCAAATCCAACAGTTTCAGGCTCAACAGTTGAGCAGATTAGCTCGTTCCAATCAAAGGGCAATCAGTTATCAACAGGTGATGTGAACTTCCACACAGCTCAACAAAGTTCATGCAACATGCCAAGTCAGATGAATCAAGTAGTCCCTCTGAGAAAACTGCCTGCATCTAAAGACAGTGAAATACAGGGAAGTACAGCAAGTAGTCCCCCTGAGAGGTCTAAAGGGGATGCACTACTTCCTCTTTTTCCTACGAAACCCACAACTCAGGCATATACTGACAATGCTCAGACTAGTGGGGAGAAAACACGAGTTATTAAGGTCATACCGCATAATCGCAGATTAGCAACCGAATCAGCAGCTCGGATTTTCCGGTCTATTCAAGAAGAAAGGAAACAATATGATTAGTGTTTGTGTCTATAATGACATACGTCACTCGGGAAATGATTGCATGTGTACTCATCAAATATTTGTTACTTTTGTATTTTTATTAATAACATGTACATAGACCATAAGTTTGAAAAGTAATCAACTTTTTCTCAATTGCAATAATGACTGCTTCTGTTTTTAATGGTTGCAGAAAATCTTGGCCGTATTAGAAAATCATATATCAAGCATATACTTCTCTGGAAGTCTTTAATTATCCAGGATTTCAAGTCTATGATTCAACAAATTCTGACTCTGATACCAGAGTTCTTCAAACACCATTATCTTAGAAGTTGCTTTAATGGTGTTCACATTGATGTACTGTTTCAACTTTGAATTGTTAAGCTGAAACAACTAATAGGAGAAACCCAATTTGAAGAATGCAATTATTACTCGGACCAAGTGTTCCTTCATTGCCTAAGAACAGTAATACTTACAAGTACCGAAATCCAACCACCTGGACTCATGAAGTCGGGGACTTGGGATTATTGAAAACGATGCTCAGAACAAACTTCGAATAATGCAAATAGAGATTATGCATGAATTTTTATTAATATGCAATGACTTTACAAGCATTTGTCAGAATTTCCAGGGCCACCATAAAAGAAATGAGTAGCATAGTCCTTCACGTTTCCCATTTGTAAATCATAGCATTCAGGTGTTGACACATATGGAACAACACTTTCAGCATCTTTTATAGCTTCAGATTCATCCACATACCTAATATTTCTGCTATAACTTGCTTTCTTTAAGCCTTCACTAGGAAAGTACCACTTCCCATTTGAGTAGATGTGTGATGGCCTTGTAATCTTGAATTAATAATCTCTCCACCCCAATTTATTCCATCGGCTCTGTCTAATAATTTTTTGAAGATGGAACCTGGCCAGTATCCTATATCTATTTCCATTACCCTCAGCCACCAGTTTCCACTTTGCTTATCCTGAAATAACATTTTCCATTTGGTCATTTTATGCTTGGAGATGATTAATCCTTGATGCGATTGTAAATGAAAAACAACTTTTTGACCTCAAAAACTGGCGATAGCCTTGAACAAGAAAAATGTTTGCATACCTTATGTATATATATATATATATATGCTTATCTCAAATTGCTCGCCTGCATAGGTGAAAAAAGGTTCTATCTTGCTACCAAGACTCAATTTACTGCTGGTTTGTACAAATCCAGGGCATACTAGATTATAGCAACCTGTTTGTTGATAGCCATCGCTCTAAACATTCCACAAACAAACAGTATGATGAAACATTATGTTTGGAATATTTGACAAAATGGTTGAGATGGAGACATGAGTCAAGCAAACTTACAGTCCAGTATATGAATAAAAGTGTATGACTTATGTTCGAGAAAGTATGCAGTGTGATTATAGTGAGTTAATAATAACCAGATCAAAGTGATCCAATTCCAAACAAACGGATATAAATGAGAGATTTTACCATGGGAGAAAACTTATGCCATCCAGCTTCCACAGTGTTGAGTTCATCTCCATTGTCCGAGAAAACCCAAATTTGTGCTAAGCTAAACTCGTTATTAAATGTTGCTGGTTTCCATACATTAAACCGTGCACTTGCTCCAAAATAGTTGCCATCTATGAAGCACGGGATCACAAAGAAGTCCAGTTTCAAGTACCCGATACATTTTCGACACGAGGACGGTAGAGGGAATGCTGGACTATGTACCGGAGACGTGTCACGATAACAGGTACGGCTGATCGAATTCGGGGACGGTCAAAACGTATTTGGGACGTTTCGGAAACATTCCATTGGTAATTTTGACAAAAAGTACATGACCGCAAATGAGAAACCAAAAAAAAAATAGAGAAGGAAGATTGAAGAATAAAATAAAACGAGTGAATGAGTAGCGCGGACGATGATATAATCTGGAAATAAGTAATAACAAACAAAAATGTAGAATAAGGGTTTAGAAGCATGCGAAACAATGTTTGCTGTAAATGGAGAAATAAAAGGAAGAAGAAGCGGCCAAGAAAAGAAATAAAAGAAGAAGCGGCGGGAGAGATAGAATATGATTTAAGAAATTTTTGGTACAATTTCCAGTTGATCTCTCAGCTTTATAGGGATTTCGAATATGGAAACAAGTTTTACAGTATTTTTAAATTGAACACAAAAATTAATTTAATGATTTGAAAAAAAAAATCTCAAATGTTAGGATTTTAATTAGGGTGCTACACCGATTTTATATGAAGTATTGGTTTTATTTATGATTTTTTATGTCTATTTATAATTTAAATTTTTTTATATGCCGATTTTATATGAAGTATTGATTTTATTTATGATTTTTTACGTCTATTTATAATTTTAAAATTTTTTTATATACCGAATCCTTGCTATCTCCTTACCTTATATTTATAGAAATTGTTGTTTCTCGTCCCCGTATCCGTATCAACGCAACTTATCCATCCCCTTATCCATATCAGTGCAACATAGGTTGCCATTAGTGGCAGAAACTTGAGCATACTAAAATCGTGATTTTCATTCATAGAAAAGAGGAAAAGAAACATATTAATCAGATTTCAGAGACCTTTTCTTCCAGTTTTGTTAAGAATGATATGAAGGAGCTACTTTTGAAAAGCTACCTCGTGATCACTGTCAACGTTAGCGTCAAGCTGTTTAGCACGAGGAAAAAAGGTTGCATTCCGCCCAGGTTTGAATTGCGGAGATCTAACAATAGGGATTGTTCCTTCTGGACATTCTCCATATTTATGCCGACCTTGAAGAGGATCTGCTTCCAATGGTTTTACCTCCATTCCTCTTTGGATATGAACAAGGTTTCATCTGACAGTACAAAACAATCTCATTCTTGCACTGTTTTTCACTCCTTCCAACGTTCTAATGTATTATGTCAGGTTTGTGGTTGTTTTTTTTAAAAATATTTTTCATATATAGGTTTTTATCTCACTTGTTGTTAATATTTTATTACATTAGTTAAATATGAGCTGCATTTTTAAATTTTCAAAATTTAACCTTGGATAACAATTATTTATAACGGGATAATTTTGAAAGGATAAATAAATATGATATGTATCATGTACTAAAGATTAAATTATTAAATATATATAAAACATTAGCTTATTACATGAGATTATATATGAGAATTTAATATCAATAAAAATTATATAAATTACTTAAGACGGATAATTATATATATTACGTGTAATCACATATATATATATATTAATAATTTGTATAAATACCCAATTTTTTTTATTAAATTTATATAAATACCCATACTAAATTAGTTTAATTGTATGTATTATATTTAGGCAAAACTTTCGAGATAATGTTCTGGAAAAAATTAATTCACGAGATAAAACACTCCCAAGATTAATTGCTCAAATAAGGTGAAATCCACAGTGTTGGCCGTAGGTCGCCATGCCTTCCGGGCGACCTACTAGGTCGCCATGTCTTCCTGGCGAGCTACAAGAGATTGCATGTGCCATGCACGTCCCAACACGCTGGGCATCCGAGGCCATCCGACCGAGGCCATCCGAGAGCATCCGAGGCCATCCAACCGAGGCCATCTGAACGAGCTATGCGAGGGCATCCGAGGGCAACCGAACGAGCTATGCGAGGGAATCCGAGGGAAGTCGAGCGAGGGTAGGTCGCCCGGAGGGCATGGCGACCTATGTGTTGGGACGTGCATGTGCCATGCAACACGTTCATTCTCTCTATTTGAGCAAGGGTAGGTCGCCCAGAGTGCACTGCGACCTATGTGGATTTCACCCTATTTGAGCAATTAATCTTGGGAGTGCATTAGCTCGTGAATTAATTTCTTTCAGAACATTATCTCGAAAGTTTTGCCATTATATTTATAACAGATAATAGGTAGAACATACAAATAATGATACATATAATTATTTATATGCATAATATATATAAAATAATCTGGTACAATATATTTAGCTAATACATGATCAGATGATCTTCAAATAAATAATTTTAGTATATTTTTATTTTTTAAATTTATTAATTTTAAGTTAGAAATGAATCAATATAATTTATGCAAAAATACAAATAGATCAACATATAAATGTACATGAAATGATAAAATAAATAGAGAATTCCAAATGATAAAAAAATAAACCTGGATGGTGTGATTCTTGAAAAGAGTATGATCAAAAGCCGGTTGTTTGTAGATATCAACACAGTCAATTATATCACCGTCTTCACTCTGTCAACCAAATAGACTAACTAACCATTAAGAATTATATATGTAAAAAACAGCAACCAAAATGAAAACGCATGAAGAATTAAAGCTGTATTGTTTTCATGGCTCCTTTATGCTCTTTGGTTTTACCAGAAGAGGTTGAGCTTCCATCAACATGAACGTAGCTACATAACTCCCAAATAGCTATGGAAATAAATATGCAGTACCCGAGCCTGGTACTACCCATTGGTTTTTTAAAAATCAAAGTGTTTCACCTTTGCTTCACAAATATTGAAAATTTAAGTTTTTTTATTGGGAGGGATTTAAGGAATCAAAAATCGGGATCTCTGTATGGAAAATTAATTTTATCAAGGAGTTAATGATTCTGGTTTTATCCAGAAATGTTTATAGCGGTGCCGACGGATTTTTTTATGTTAAAAGATCGAAAAAAAATTAAAAACAGATATTTTATTATTATTCAATCTATAAGGGTAAATAATTTCCTTTTTTTTTGTTCTTGAATATAATGATATTAAAGTATAAACTAAAGTTCCATATTTACTATACTAAATTAATGTCCATGTACTATTCAATCAAAATTTACGTATAAGTTTAATATTTATCTTTAATATTAAAATGTGTAAATTTAGATACAACGATAATTTAAAAAAAATACAAAGGTAATAGTTTTTCTTAATGTTAAATATGTAAATAATCCTATTAATTTAGTTTTTATTTTATTTTATGATTGAATCAATGTCTGATTTGTGACATCAATTTAACCACAAATATTATATAAAATATAGGTATATAATTATTACGACCCGTAGAGAGTAAAAAGATTATGCACGTTGTGAAAGCCAGCCAAGACGACTAAGGCTAAAATCAAGTTAGAACAGGTTGAACCCAAGTACGAAAAAGTTTAATTTATACTAAAGCTAAAATCAACTCCTAAACTTATGAAATTAGTCTAAGAAGACAAAACCAAATGACCAATGTGTTTCTCTCTTGATGTTGAAGTTGAAACAAAGCACAGAACACAATCGGTTCTATTCGACCTGCACACAAAGAATACTTTCAGTTTTAATACATTGATTTAGTTGGTAGTTTAACACAATAGATGTACTCTAAGACAAAAAAAGTATTAAATGTAAAAAAACAAACCAATCTAGGAACAACTAAAATTATAGTAAAAAGATCACGAACCAGCTTTCCTCGGTGGTTAAAAGAATTATTATTGTTCCAAGAGATCATAGGTGTTGCGGAAGACGGCTATCGGATAGAGCAAAATCGCAACTGATAATTTGAGAAAATAAAAATGAAGATAAAAAGAGACACAAAATTTACGTGGAAAACCCCTAAATAAAATAGGGTAAAAACCACGGGCAACGGTAGAAGAATTTCACTATGAGAAAATAGGAATTACAACCTCTCTCGATCTATCAAGGAGAAAACAATGATAATTCTCTCTCGATAAAAAGGAGAAAACAACTC